TTACCTCTGCCAGTTTCAGGTCGTCTGCAACACCATCGACAACATTGTGATTGACGTGCTCAACTTGATTAATCCTTCGCCTAAATATGGAACGAATCGTTGGACTGTTGATTTTGATAACGCAAGTGATGACACAAGTACCAACACCAGCTGAACGCCGTGCCATTCTCGAATATCTTACTCAAGTGCGTGAACACTTTCGACCACCTGCCAGCAACATGAATTGATTGTACGTCAAACTTTACTATTGTATTTTACTTGTGATTTGCCCAACTGGATAATTTATAAAGAACAATTCTAACAACACTGCTGCTAGAGTGAGCACACATATGACCACCAGAACTATGAAAATTACCAACAAATATTATCACCATCATATATTTTATTAGTAACTTGGCAGCGTTTTCTTATGTAAAATACTGTCTTCACTATTTACCTTGCAAACAGCAAACACAAATAATTGGCGGTGACAAGAGTGGACAACCTTATGTGGCCATGCATTATTAAAACAGCGGCATTGAAAATGCAACATGCATGATTCAAAATGTTTCTTTATTTTGTGATTTAGCGATACTCCATAAGACTGGAGACATTAGCCATGCAGTGGGCTTCTCAGTGTCGTTGGGAACATCCAGATCGCAAACGCTATACGCAGTACGAAGGCACCGGACAGAATCTTGCATTAAGAAATGGCCCCAAACAATCATTTCCACAGATGGCTACAGGTTGGTACAATGAAGCGGTAAACTACACATATCATTCCAGGCAATGCTCCCATGTTTGTGGACACTACACACAGGTAGGTTATCTATTATTGTCAGTGCCTTCAATAAATAATCAAATTGTATGCGCAGAAATTTGTTTTTGGTGTTAATATTGCATGTGACAGATGGTGTGGGCAACTACAACGGAAGTAGGCTGTGCAATGCAGCGATGTGACAGCCTTCGGCCAGAATGGACTCCACCCGTTTATCTTATGGCTTGTCAATACGCCCCAGGGTAAGTCAAGACTACTGGATGGTAATTTACCTAACACTTAAAAACAGAACGAGATAAAGCAGTCTGCTGTGGAACTTGATGCAATGACATGTGTGGTGATATAAAACGATCTATGCAATTTAAAAGAAAAGGCTTTTTTATTTGCTTTTCTTTCTCACAGTGGAAATTACGGGGGAGAATGGCCCTACACAGCAGGTCGACCTTGCAGCAGTTGCCCCTATGAATATTCGTGCGCCCGCAACCAATGTGTCAAGGTTCACACAAAGCCTAACCCAAATCCCTGAGCACACGGGCATGTAAACTCCTTTACTAGTCTCACATTACGTTCATTATCTGCTCACATTGTGATAACAGCTTACCATTTCCTTTTTTCTTAAGTTTGCGATATAAATAATAAGTGTTTTCTGCTAATTTCGTCTTGTGCCGATTTGGGTAAGAAGTTTTGCTGTTTTGTTTTATTAAATATCTTACAGCTTCCAAATTAACAGTGATTACAACCTCGAGATAAGAATGAGTGGGGACAACAGCGCCATGTGCGTCTGCGAGCGTCATTGATTAAGTTGGTTGTCGGTAGCAGAAAATCACTGCGTCATTATTTAATTCCTTCGATTCAACAACCAAGCATTACTCGCTTACAATCTAATTACGACCATTAGGATTAGGTTCACAAGATTTGTAATTCCTTTTCAGAAAGCATTGCAAAATTAAAAGTGCCATTTGTGGTCATTAAATTCAACACTAGAACCGTCTCTGAATCTTTTCATTTATCGATTTACCTATTGCATTTAGTGTGGTCCAGAACTAGAGAGTGTTTGGAAAATTAAATGGGAAATCATCACGAACAATCAACGATGCATTTTCTATGGTTTGCTAAGGCTGTCTCCAGGCATTTGGCAGGGTTCATGCGTTAGCCTGTGTAAAAAGCGCAGGGAGATCAAACGTTAATTTTGTGCGTAGTTTTTGGTCAAAACAAAGGACTTTCTAATAAATATCAAGATTAATGCAACGAGTAACAATAAACACAAACAGTCATACGCCTTTTCATTAATGAGACGCATTCCAGTTCAATTCCAGAATTGACGACATTTGTTTCAATACACAAGGGTGCTATTGTAATTTATAAACGTAGGCACGTGCGGCTTTTCACCGATCAAGTGTTCTTATAATTTATTTTTAAGGGGACTTGTTTGATTGCAAAAATATATTATTTTTCTAAATTATTGTCATAGGTGCAACAGGAACAAAAACAAAGTTAATCTCACATTTGGAAAATAATCATTACTTAACGCATGTGTATATTTACAAGTTGCTGTTTAATTCTAGAACATAAAAAAATATTTTTTTTTTCAAAATAATGCAATTAAATGCTTAAATATTTCAATTCCTATATCAAGGTGCACTTATAAAGTACATTTTGAAAAAAAAGTTATGCGAAATCCATCAGGGTTAGCGGGATTTCCAAGTTTTAATAAACACTAGAATCGCCATTGCAAGCTCGTTGAGTTATGAAGCCAAATCATTACGCATACTGCATGAATGATAAGTTTACTAATATGCATAGAAGTAATTATGTTGCGCTCTAACTTCGCGGTGCCAACAGGAATGAATAGACATTAAAAACCATGATGCACATTTAAATCAAAATATGACGAAGCCAAATTAACGCGTGTCTTTGAACGTCCATGACGTGTCCATAATGTATTTAGCTAGCCATCACAACCGCAAGAAATATTGTTCACACGTGTTGCGACCAGGATCTATTACTTTCCTGAAATAATATCGCAATATTTGCGAAGGTTATCCGTTTAGTGTACATACTGACAGCGGTAAGAGAGAGCTTAAAGAAAAAAAGTAATTCAGATACTACTAATTTTTACTTAAATCAGCATTTAATTTCACGCCAACGTTAATTTAAGGGTACAGCTAAAGCCATCCAATTTTCAGTGTCTACAGACGATGAGCAAAATCATGTGCACATCTAATGTCTGCAGTAATCGAATTCATTATCACTGTGAGCACGGAGATATGATTGTGCAATATCTGTGCGTTAGTTATGGATGACTTAAATTCTTATGCGGACCCATCAATAATTGCATTCCAGGTTGTTATTATCAAGCTGTGTAGCTTTAACTAATAATGTGGAAAAATTGAGAAATAATCAAAGAAGAAGAAGGTGTTTTTGCTATGTAGTAAGCAAACAAAGCGTTTGTTAGCAAGAATTACAGATAAACACACGGGACACCATCTATATCATAAAATTGATGTGGACCATAGCATGTGGCCTTGAAACACGTCGGGACCACTGAAGTGTAATCCTGGCCCGATTACACTTCTCTGCTACATGTTATGAAGAAAAAGATTGGAAAGGACGTGGACACAATTGTTTACTTCAGAGCTCAACCACATTGGGGTGGTTGTGTCGTGGGCGGATTTATCGCGTGTTCAATTTTACCACAGATGTGTGAGTCATACATGCGCTAACATCAAGACCTAGGCATGAGGATAATTCAAGATAAATATCCGTGTGATTGATGGGGGATTTGAGAAGGAAGGGGAACCTTGTGTCACAGGTGGACCTCTCGGATTAAGGGGTGTGAATAAACACGACTCAGAGCAGAGTGATTTGGTGATGACAATCCTCAGCCTTATGCCCTCTTTTATATCCTATTTTCAGAAATGTGACTTGTCATTTGCTTGCACACAGCAACGCACAGTAGGTTACGATGCCTAGCAAACTGTAATTAAGCAGTCATGGTACAATCTTGCGCCTCCGTGCGACAAATTTAATGTGACTCGTGAATTTTGCAGGTAATTCAGACCTGTGACATTATCCACATTATCAGATAACTCTCCTAGATTATGGTTATACTTACAAAGATAAACGTCCATGTGAATGAGGCAAAAGTTGAGGCTCCGCACGGCTGGCGACATGCTGCGAAAAGGGGGAACCCTGCGTCGGAGGTGGAGCTACTGGAGTAATGGGTGTGAATAGACACTATTCACGGCACTATCTATTTGGAAACTGAAGTATTTGCAATCTGATTTTCAGATCAAAAGCTAATCAAATTGAAAATTATATCTCTGAAAAACTTTTAATCTGAAAATAATTGTTCTATTACATGACAATAAAACACATAGTTAACAAATACTAACAGATTTAATTACTTATGGCTGCAACCGAGAAACGTGTCTCAATTATTGATAAGATTTCAAGTAGCATTCAACTAAATTTCGGAAATACCATTTCTGTTCCTCAAATGCATGTTAGCATTACAGTTTATGCCTGGTGGAAAGCACAATAAATCTACAACTTGTAAATAATAAACGCTATAATATTGGCCTTACCCTCTCTTACAAGACAGTAATCACTGCTGTTGCACAGTTTGCACTGTTGTTGGAGCTGGCAGGAATCGACGCACGTGAGCAGTCAAATTTGCCCATTCGTCACAAATTATTCATAGGTGCATTATCGAAATGATTTGCAAATTCCTATTATTGGTGACTTTAGAAAAATACAATTTATAATCTACATTTAAGCATCATAACCCAGCAGGTGGCTGCAAAATGGGAATGCTGGTTTTGTGCTAATGAGAATATGTAATGAAATTTAAAAAAAAGTAGTCTGTATTTTGGTTGCATAGATGCATTTTAACGTTCTCGTGAAGTGTCGTTCTACTACCTTTCTCTTTAGTTTATCTAGGAGTATCAAAAAGAGGGCTGTAAGTTATTGATGGTGAGTACCAAAAGCAGGCGTAACATCATAGCTTTTATAAATGAATTTTTCGACTTCATATGAGCGATGTTAATTCGTCAAGCATCAAGTATTCCTTTCTGACCTTAAAGTACGTCGATTACAGTACGGCAGTTTCACTTTAAGATGTTCAGTTCATATATATCAACATTAATCAGAGAATCAAAAATCCAGACTACAACGCAATTTAGATACATCAAGAATTGTTGAATTGAAGATTAAGTCGATTCCAAAGTCAAATGTAGGCATGAAGCAAAGACTTTGTTTTAATTAGCAAATATTTACATATCGGTGCAAAAAACCGTAATTTCATTAACAAAATCAGTGTCTTTGATTCCTTGTTTCGTCGATGGAGAATACAATATTCGAATTTGTGGCGGTTTTTTTTAAAGTAAATAAACATTGCATCAGACAACATATTCATCTCGTGTTGAACATGAATAGATTGTCGAAAGATATCTGTGCATATAGCGATATTCAGTGTGTCAGTCACATAAGGTCAACTCATGGGTGGTTAAAACGGCTGGCCCATTTCTGCAACTTGACAATCCTTACACAGCGAAGGTCTTTAATGTAATACGTTAAGATACTTTAAGCTAACAAGTAAATTAGCAACACACAATTTTTTTATTATATACGGTTAATCAGATTGCCAAGGAAATGTAGCTAGTCAAATATACTAGACTGGGTTCTTCTGCAGCATTTGCAAAATCGTTAGGCAGTTCGGGTGATATTAACATTTAAACAATTATAAATTTTATGATGGAAATCGTGCGAGTATAAGCTGTATCAAATACACCTCACTTGTTATGAAGTTGCACGTAAAGCCACTTCTATCCAGATGTACCTTGTTTTATATACACCCCAATTGTTGCTTTCTAGATATTAGATCTTGTATTTTGTCTTGTGAAAGAAATTTTTGCAAAAACACATTTAGTTCAATTTTCTGCATATATTTTACGCATTAATTGTAACAGCATTTGTTTTCAAATATTCAGAAATGTGTAATGTGTTTTGGGTTAAAAAGTGACCAGTAAGCAAATTTGTAATTATCAGTAAATTTAAATTTAATGTGAAGCCAATGCTGCATCATTTGTGCCAGTGACTCCCTTATTTAATCTACTCGTTAACACATTAATTTATTAATTTTAGCTTTCGATCGCAGGAAAGGAAATTAAATTATTAGATTTCTAGGCTAAAACGCTTGCTAATGCATGTGTCATTATCCACTTATCCGTCCTACACTTTCTAACATAAGAGCAGATCTATATCTAGTCCTGAGAATTTTAACAATCAGACCCTACATGTTTTTTTCACTATAACATCGATCAAATCTAAATCTAAAATTCAATGCAAAATATCTTCGAACCAAAACAAACAAATTTGCACGTTATACGCCATAACAATTGTTGCGACTTGAAATAATCTGTCATCCCAACATTTGACGAGCCAAATGGGTCACCTTAATTAATGTCATTCCTTCTTAATTTAATTCCATCTTGGTACAATTTTACTGTCATGTTCAAAATCTAA